ATTTTGTTGATATTTAATTATTTTTTCAAAACACTGTCAGGATAAGATTTTAATAGTATGGGGACGAAATGTGAAGTAGGAATTGTGTGTTTATTCCCTCTTACAGATTGACACATATACACTTATACTGTGTAGACAGTTTTATGTTTAAGTAGTTGGCACACGTATAGCAGCCAACTTCTACGTACACAAATGACATCTTCCAGCTTGCACTTAAGTAGGGCATGTGGTCCGGGAACATTGTTTTTTTCTGCTCTGCTTCTGTGAAGTTGCCTTGATCCACTCTCAGCCCATTAATGAGATAGTACTTCCGTAGTTGGCTGTTCATCAGCCAGTTCTGTCTTAAGGGCATGTGGTCCGGCAACATTGTTTTTTTCTGCTCTGCTTCTGTAAAGTTGCCTTGATCCACTCTCAGCCCATTAATGAGATAGTACTTCCGTAGTTGGCTGTTCATCAGCCAGTTCTGTCTTAAGACAGTACAGTTTAATCGTGGCACGACAAAACTGCGCTCGTCAAAATAGCGGTGATAAAACCACATCGCTAAAGCTGCGACGTCATCACCACGCGTCATCACCGCTGCGACAACAGCGCGGCGACAGAAGGGCGCTTTAAAACAGCGCAGCGGCAGAAAGCCGATTTAAATTAAGGTTAGGATTAGGTTTAGGGGTTAGGGTTAGGTTTAGGGTTAGGTTTAGGGTTAGGTTTAGGGTGCTGAGTGCTTCAGAAGGCGCGGATTTGCCCTCCGCCCTTATGTCAGCGCGGTAAGGTCACATTTGCTTTAGCGATTCGGACGGCGCGGATTAGGGTTCGCACTTATGTCTCCGCGGATAAGGGCTTCGCGGTATTGTGGTGGAATCCAGTTTAATAAAACTGGGGATACTCTAACTTTTGTTCTTCATTAGAATTAATAAAAGGAAAGACAAAGCAGGTGAAAAATTCAAATTTTGGATCAATTGACTTTTCTCTTTGAAAATTCTTATACTATTTTTTGTGAAAACACATAAAAAAATAGAGACACCAGAAAAATGTAGTTTTGACATAGGAAAGTAATAAGCAAGGTGGAGTATATCAAACATTTTTAAAGCCGTAGCTTAAATATATGAGATAATACAAGACATTATACACATATGCCAGTATATATTTTTATTTTTTATAGTGAAAAGTGTAAAGCCAGAGGATTTACTGTTATAGTGGATGGTAGAAAATCTCAATGGAATGTTGTAAAGACCGTGGTGTTGATGCTGCAGGTAAGAATTACTTTATATGAATCTTAGCAAAGAATTTAGTTTTCTGAAGTTCTTCAACATCTGATAAGGTGGTTTGGCTTTCTTTTAATAAAATAAGCAGACTGATGCATTACATTATTTTCAATAAATCATGGGTTGAAACTTTCAGTATATTTATATATTCTCAATTGCTTTAAACATGGTTTGCCTTTATATCTGTGTTGTAAATGCAGATTGTATGCTAGACTGCAGGTTGCAGTCTTGAACATTCAGTCTGCATCCGAATCTTCATAACATATGCAGAGAATCAGATACCCCAGCTGCTTTCTGCAGGAAATATAGGTGGTCCTCACTTAATGATTGGATGCTTAGTGACTGTTCAATGTTATGACACCTCCCCCCGCCCCAAATATACTTTTTTGATTGCTCAGCCACTGACCCAAATTTGTGGCCTTTTGTAGCATCCTGTAATCAGTGTGTGGTGGCCTAGAGATGAACACACTCACCTCACACTTGAGACGCTGAGACTTCAATCCTAGGTAGCAACCATTGTTTCTCTATCAGCGGAAACAGAAAATATCTTCTGCAAACCACATAGGCATCAGGAAGGGCATCCGGCCAGTAAATGCTCAGCTCCATTCAGTTGCCCCAACTCCACCTCAATGAAAGGGATTACAGGTTTTTTTTAAAAAGCATCCTGTAATCATATAACTGCAATTTACTATTTATTTATTTATTTATTCATTTATTTATTTGGCTAGAAACTGGTGTTTATTTTTGGTCTCCATGAACAATATGTTTGTTTAATAATCACTGCATTTGCTTCAAAATTTCCCCATGCATTTTACAACTGTTGTGTTCAGTCAGTGATCATCATGAAAATTATCATAAAATCAGGTTGGTCACACAATGATGTGCTTGACTTTATGACCATAATTCTGGGCTTAAGTTGAGGACTATCTGTAGATGAAAAATTGGCCCATTTAAAAGTGGGCAAAACCCAAGAAAAAGTTTTAACTGTGACTGGATGCATTGTTTCCTACAACATCTTATTCAAATTTGAAATTTCTAAGGACCTAGGATATTCCTATAATTAAAGCAGAAGAGCGTCTCCTTTAGTAATGCAATTTCTGTAGAAATAGAAAGTGCTGGCCATGAATTTTTCTTGATTTAATTTTGAGTTTCTAAATTCAATTTTTTTTATCCCCTATGTATTTCTGTCCAAGCTAGGGACAGAAGCTTTATTTTATCTTTGCTTCAACTTATAAATTAAAGTATTTTATTTCTTCAAACCTTTTTAATGCAAAATAGTATTTGAAATGCTGCAAATAATATTTTTACAATATCATTTTAGAGATTCTGAAAGATTTGTAGATCCTTGTTAACTTGTGTGTTCCCCCCATTTTAACCAAACTGCTGTTTTTCCATAATATACAATAGCTATAGTTCTTCTTCTACATTATACATTCTTCTACACACATTGCATGCATGCATTTTAATATTTCAAGTTAAGGGATTTGACATTTCATGTTTTTATTATTTTTCCTTAATAAAGTTTGAATGTATCAATTTTTTGTGAGATTAATCTAGTTCCCAAGAAAAGGCTACATCCTATAGAGATAGATGACAGTGGTGGGTTCCTACTGGTTTGGACCAGTTCAGCTGAACTGGTAGTGGTTTGGCAGCCTGGATCGCTGGAATCGGCAGCGACCCAGGCCTGCCACAATCCCGAACTAGTTCTTCATAGGCGCCACCATCTTGGTTTTTTGCTTCTGTGCATGCGCAGAACAATACTGCCCATGCAGGCATAGCATGCATCAAGCGCACATGTGCTAAGCGCGGCCACAAGTGAATTGGCAATAGTAACTGCCAGAACCCATCCCCGCAGCAAGAGTAACTGTCAAACTGATATTCCAAAATAGAAAGCATGTGGACAGCATGTGGGCATTCAAAGGGCTTCATGTTTGAGTTCCCACCTTTCAATGCCACAGATTTAAATATTAAGCACAAACTCATGAGGTTTTCCCAGAAAGAGTAATAAGACATTGTCAATGTCATATTTATAACATTTGAGAGTTTAGCATTTAACTGACCTCTATAATATGCACCACTTTCATGGATCCCCACTATGTCTCATTTTACATTCCGGCCTGCAAAGAATATCCTGTAGTTTATGTAGGATTTTTCAATATCTCCATAATTCTCACCAAATGCCACAATATTCTTTTATGTTTTTAATCTACAGATGAAACTCAAAAAATTAGAATATTGTGCAAAAGTTCATTTATTTCAGTAACGCAATTTAAAAGATGAAACTAATATATGAGATAAGACTCATTACATGCAAAGCAAGATAGTTCAAGCCATGATTTGTCATAATTGTGATGATTATGGCTTACAGCTCATGAAAACCCCAAATCCACCATCTCAGAAAATTAGAATATTACATGCACTCAATAAAATGAGTGCCCATAGAACAATATTGGACCTCTGAAAAGTATAAGCATGCATATGTACTCAGTACTTGGTTTGGGCAAATTTTTCTGAACGCTTTTTGAGTTACGAAGATATGAGTGACATTTGCACTCCCCACTAAGCATACTTACAAACTAATTCTTTTAGAAGAATGAATCAAATATGAAAAGGTCATATGGAATAATTATCTACGGTCTCTGGTTTTAAAATTCCTCAATGTTTTGATTCTAGTTCCACCCCTTCCTGGAGAAGAATGAGTTTTGCAATCTTTCCCACCGGAAACTGTACTTGGACAAAAATGGAGAAATAGCAGCAGATTTCAAAATCATGAGCTTAGTGATTGTCCCCAAAGAGGATCTCATCAGAGAACA